TTTAACTAACTTCAATAAACAAAAAGGATATTTGTAAATATGAATTTTTGTTATACTGACTACCAGTGTACCTTGCAAGGTACAACCWTAGAGCTTTTTACTAAATTATCCTATCCTCACGAAACTTGGTATTCGGTATCTATTAAGTGTATTTATAATATTCGTAGAAAAAACTTAATTGGTAATGAAACGGTTAATGCAAATGAGAAAAATGAAACTGGTGATGATGACAATGAAAATGATGACAATGAAAATGATGATAATGGTGACAGGCACGGATTGGTAAAAAAGGGCACGGGATGCTACTTTATTTAAAGGGCAAATAACAAAAATGTTTGGGGAAAATTAAAAATATGTTGATTATRTATAAAATATTGAATATACGTAAAAATCGAAAATAGGTATCATGTTACTACAATAATTATTCATAGAAAATTATACAATATTAGATTAAAAGCAAATTAGATCAAATATATTTTAGGGCAAGGGATGCTGCAGTATCTCGATGGAATGGTGGTAATACAAATAAGTACAAATGTAATGATTGTGGAAAAAAATTAAAAATTCAGATTTAAATGCTGGTATGTGTGGTTATGTGCGGTATATGGCTTCTCACAACTCTTTTGGATATACATGCGATTATTGTCCAATGGTATTTAAAAAAAGATCGCAATTAATTCAATATAAACAACAATATTTATAGTATGTATTCAACATTCAGCAAGAACTCAGACAGGTAGCTGTAGCTCGTAGGTAGGATCATAGGCGGCATCTAGGGGGGGGGGCATGAGGGTGCAGTTGCACCCACGAAAATTTTTCTGGGGGGCAAAAGTATCATTTTGCACCCACACACAGACAATCACAACAGTAAAAATATTTTAATCATTTTGTTGTTAACAATTATGCTGATATAATGTAATTTTGATAATAAAAAAGCTGGAAAGTGGATGTCGCTCTGCTATTCAGTAGGTTACAAGTGGGTTACTGTAATCGATGGAATTAAATTTGAATCCAATGATATTATATCATTGTATACGAAAAACGATTCTGAGCAAAGACGGTTTATCTGTCTAGAATATATTATAGATTATTAAAAA